AGTTTTCTGCTTGGATTCCCAAAGCATCAGAACTGCATTTCATTGTAACATATCTGAAATTAGGAAAGAGCAATTTCAAATCAATTATGCTTTATAATAACAATATGAAAATTACCTGGTATATTAGATAATCATTACAGGATGTTTGTAACCATCATATAAATCAAATTGAAACGGATATTTAAAAATTCATAGGCTTCTTTTAAGTGAGTTTTTCCTCTGATGTCTGGGTAAGCCTTGAACTCCTGAGCTCATATGATCTTTGTGCCCAGCCTCTCAAGGAGCTGATACTACAGGTATATGTCACCACATCTGGTCACAAATTAACTTGCATTTCTAAACCCTAAAGTTACAAAAACAGGACAATGATTTTCATATACTCTTCATTTAGCTTCATGGATTCTTTTTGCCTATGTATATGTTTGTTATATAATAGACATTGCAAATACACTTTTTAAATTCAGGGTCTAAGCACTATCCCTGAGCTCCTTCTCTTAAGGCTAGCTCTCTACTTCTTTGAGCCACAGCTCCACTTCCAGTTTTTGAGTGATTAATTGGAAATAAAAGTCTCATGGGGACTTTACTGCCCTGGTAGCCTCCTAAGTAGCTAGGATTACAGGTGTGAGCCACCAGCACCCGGCCAGATAGATTTATTTTTGCTAATCAATGAAGAATATATTTCCTAATCATTGAAGAGTAATTTGCACAAATCATGTCTGCTAACACACCAAATACTTCAGGATTTGTCTCCAGAAATACAAAATTTTCCCTTCTATAGCCACAATTAGGAAATACAACACCTACATAGACAATATGCTTGATCCGGCTCAGTTTTTCTCCCAACAAAACCAATAATGTCCTTTTCAGAAATTGTTTACTGATCTCAGATCTGATCCAGAATCACATATTACATTTAGTTGATATGTCTTTCTGGGAGTTCCTCAGACCATCTTTTTGCTCATTGAGTGTGACTCAGTGGTCAGTTTGAAGGTAAATTTTTTTTGGGGGGGTCCGGTCGTGGGGCCTGAACTCCAGGCATGGGTGCTGTCCCTCAGCTCTTCAGCTCAAGGCTAGCACTCTACCGCTTGAGCCACAGCGTCACTTCCAGCTTTTTTCTTTTTGCTTATGTGGTGCTGAGGAATCAAACCCAGGGCCTCAGGCATGCAAGGCAAGCACTCTACCACTGAGCCACCTTCCCAGCCCTGGAAGGTAAATTTTTTGTGGTCATTTACACAGATGGCTTGTCTAGTTTCTAGGCTCTTCCTATTCTGATCCTCTCTTTCTGGAGCCTTCTAAGAATCCTAGGCCCCTTCATTCTGTGTCCTGGGCACTGGCCCAGGCTGCTGCTCCCAGCCAACCCACAGAATCCTTGGACCCAAGTTCACACTTACTTCTAAGGTTCTGGTTTGAACACAAAATGTTCAGAAGACTAGGTATCCAGGTAGGGGCGCCATTGTGGGAGGGGCTGGGAACTTTAGTTGGAGTAAGTAGGAAGTAGGTTTCTGAAAGTACTTTTGGGATGTATCTTGCCCTGGCCTTTCTCTCTCCTTTTCCTTCTCCGTCTCTTATTCATCCTCATCCCTCCTTCCCTCCCTCCCTCCCATCCTTCCTTTCTTTCTTCCTTCCTTCTTTCCTTCCTTCCTTCCTTCCTTCTCCTCCTCCCCTTCCCCCATCCTTTTCCTTTTTCCTCCTCCTCCTCCTCTTCTTCCATACACTTCTGCTTCAGTGATGTTCTGCTTTACCATAAACTCTGGAGCCTAACACCAAGAATTCTTCCCATGAAGCTTTTTTCTTTTTCATTTTCTAATCACAATTGTTTGGTTACTACAAACGACCTAACACTATGAATGAGGCCCATCTATCCAGGACACCATGGTCTGCAGTCTTTTGTTTCTTGTGTCAGGGGACGCCGAGTGCATACCACATGCCTTCCCCAACTGTGCAGGAGGAAGGTGCTGTTGCAGGAGTCATGAACATTCTACCATGGATGGTTCTAGGCTTTTCCTTCTGGATGCACATGGATGGATACATGCATGCATTGCCTGTAACTCAGATCACTTATTTATTCTCCTGGCCATCAGTTCCAGCTGGAAACCTCTTTATCCAAAGTCTATGATTGGTTCGTTCCCTTTTGGTGGCAATTCAAGCACGTAGCTAACTGTTGAGCCATCTCCCGTTGATGAGCAACAGGGTAGAAAATTCCTTCATAATTATTTGAACACAGGCAGATTGAAAGAGCAACATGTAGAAATCTGAGGAACATAGGAGTATGCACCTTTCCATAGGGGTTTTATTTAGGAATCTATTTGCTCAACACTTAACCAAGTTGATGACACATGCTCTCCTATCCCTGGCTCAGGTAGCAACAAACACTGAAAGAGCTTGAACTCAGGGCCTGAGCACTGGTCCCTAAGCTTTATCTGCTCAAAGTTAAAACTCTACCACTTGAGCCACAGCTCCACTTTCATTTGGGGGGGCGTGGTTAATAGGAGATAAAAGTCAGGGATTTTCCTGCCTGAGGTGGCCTTGAACTGTGATCCTCAGATCTCAGGCTCCTGAATAGCTAGGGTTACAGACATCAGCCACCAGAAGGAACTTATTTTGAGAAACTAGATTCTGATCCATGACACTCATAGGAGTGGCTGGATATTTCATGTCCATAGAGATCTAGACCAACTTCAGAATGGTTTCAATACCCATACAAAAAGCCCAGACAGGGGTTTTTAGGAAAGGTAATTTTGTTGTTGTTTGTGCTCATCCTGAGGTTTGAACTCAAGGCCTGAGCACTGTCTCTGAGCTTTTTTGTTCAAGGCTAGTACTCTACCATTTGAACCACGGCTCCATTTCTTGCTTTTGGTGATTAATTGGGGATAAGAGTATCACAGACTCTCCTGCCTGGGCTGGCTTCAAACCACAGTCCTCAGATCTCAGTCTCCTGAGTAGCTAGGATTATAAATGTGAGCCACTGTTGCTCAGCTTTTTAATTTAAAATAATTGGGTATTGCTGGTTTAATTCAGAACAAAGTTGGACCTGATAGAACAAGATAGTAGAGATTCTTCAAATGACCTCAAGCTTGTGAGTGTAGTGAGTGAGAAAGCTGCAGGGGAGAGGGCAAAAGTCAGGACAGTTTGTGCCAGTGTGGTCCAGAAGGGCTGAAATACCGAGTCTCATCCGGGTCTTTGGCCATGTTTCCCATGGGGCAGAAATGTGTTTCCTAGACACTGTCTTGCCAAGATGTTGTGCTACATCATTTGGGAAGTTGAAAAGCACTGACAGAGCAACCGGCTGAAAAGAACACACTATTATACATAGCACAGAGCTGCAAGAAAAGCACTTTAACTACTCCAAATCTTTAGCAAGCATCAGTTCAGGCAGAGAGAAGCAGGGCCCAAATGGTGGCTGTGTGGAACGTCTGCTTGCTTCTAAGAGAGAGACTGATGATTTAGGAATGTACAAGGATCAGAGAAGATTTTGATGACAGCAGTCAGGACATACATTTTTCAGTTCATTCTGTAAACCACAGAACCCTGGGCCTCCAGTCCTCTGGGAGCCTCAGTTTCCTAGTCTGTAAAACAGGACCTGGGTGGGTCATAAGGCTCACCCTGGGACTCAGCACCCTAGATCTCTCCACCCCTCTCATGTCCTCTAGAGAATGGGATAAGACTGGGTGCTGCTGTTGCTGCTGCTGCTGCTGCTCCTCCTCCTCCTCAAACATGCCCTCCCCCACTCTACTGATCTACTTTTATGAAACTCCACTAAGATTCCCACACACAAAATTTATTGCTTAGTGAGGTACTGAACATAACAGTCAAGCCTAGCAATCAAGCTTGGAGCCCTAATGAAGAAACCAGGCCTTAGCTCAAAGTATCCTGGACTAGGTGGCTTTGTTACTGCTAGCTGGTGGTGTGACTTAGGTCTGTCTCTTCCTCGCCCCTTGTTTGTGCTCAAGTCTATAATAATGGCAGTGGTCATGAAAGCTGATGTGAAGATGTCACCTGTCGGGTGCCAGCCTTTCACTTGATCTTCTTGGTCTTCTATTTGTCTCTGTGTTGGTTCTGTGGCTTGAACTCAGAACCTGGGCACTATCCCTGAGCTTGTTCATTTAAGGCTAGCACTCAACCATGTGAGCCACAACTGCACTTCTGTGTTTTTGGTTGAGATAAGAGTCTTCGTGGACTTTCTTGCCCACATTGGCTTCAAACAGCCATCTTCAAATCTGAGCCTAGGAGGAATGGGCCTATTGTCAAATTGTACAGATGGAGAAACAGAGGCAGGTGGAGATTAAGGAGCTGTCCCGGGACCTCACAGTGGAAGGATACATTAATTCCTGCAAGCCAACTTAGCTCAAGTTGGTCAAGGGTGCCCTAGATGGTAACTGTTGGTAATTATTTCCACATATTCCGAGGGTCCTATATTCCACTAATTTTCCAAGGGTTCCTACCCTGTCCCCCTCTCATCTTCAAATTTAGGGTAGGAGGAAGGCTTTCCTGCCCCTTGGCTGCTCTGGAGCTCAGAAGATCCAGACTCAGTGTCTGGTGGAGTCTCAATTTTCTCATCTGGGTCAGGGGCACAGGCAGTCAAGGGGACATTCTCAGGTCACTGAGCAAATGGCTCAAAAGGCCACTGCCCATTGCCCAATATGAGCCACAGGGGACTCAGAAGACATCGCCCTGAGGGGGTCAGGGCTGGCCTGGCCTGTCCTAGAACTAGGGATGGAGGAGGGGCCGGACAGGGGTGGGTGGAGCCAGTGAAGCCAAATGGGCGGGGCAAGGTAGACAGAGGGGCGGGCTGGGGGAGTGGCCGCGAAGGAGGGGGGGACTGGGCGGCCCAATGGGCGTGGTATTATGGGCTTGGGCGGGGCCAAGCCAACGCGGGCCGGGCGGCAGGCGTGGCTGGGAGGCGTGGCTAGGCCGGGAGGGGCGTGTCCGGGGCGGGGAGGGAGTGGCTAGGGGCCGGGCCCGCCAAAGCCGCGGCGCTCTCCCCTCTGGGCGTCACAGCGCCAGGCGGCGGCAGGGAGATGCGGCTCCTGGCGCTGGCGTTGGCGGCGCTCCTGGCGCAGGCTCCGGCCCCGGGTAAGCGCGCGGCGGGGGAGG